ATATATATATATATATATATATATATATATATATATATATATATATATGATATGTGATATATATATATATATATATATATATATATATATATGATATATATATATATATATATATATATATATATATATATATGTATATATATATATATATATATATATGTATATATATATATATATGTATATATATATATATATATATATATATATATATATATATATATATATATATATATATATATATATATATATATATATATATATATATATATATATATATATATATATATATATATATATATATATATATATATATATATATATATATATATATATATATATATATATATATATATATATATATATATATATATATATATATATATATTTGTGTGTGTGTGTGTGTGTGTGTATACACACCAGCAGTCTTTAATGAACCTAAAAGAACACATGTCACTCCGCTGCTCATCCGTTTGCACTGGCTGCCAGTTGCTGCTCACATCAAATTCAAAGCTCTGATGTTTGCTTACAAAGCGACTTCTGGGTTTGCTCCTTATCTGCTCTCACTTCTGCAGATCTATGTGCCCTCCAGAAACTTGCGTTCTGTGAATGAACGTCGCCTCGTGGTTCTATCCCAAAGAGGGAAGAAATCACTTTCCCGAACGCTCGCGTTCAATCTGCCCAGTTGGTGGAATGAACTCCCTAACTGCATCAGAACAGCAGAGTCACTCGCTACTTTCAAGAAACGACTAAAAACTCAACTATTTAGTTTCCACTTCGCTTCCTAATCTGCAATTGCCTCTCTGGATATACCACTAACTGTACTCAAAAAATAAAAAATAAAAAAATTTATAAAAAAATTGGCTAATACTTTTCTTCTTAGACTTTACAGATCTAAAACTTGCCTATAGCACTTATTCATTATTGCTCTTATAGTTGTGTAAATTGCTTCCTTGTCCTCATTTGTAAGTCGCTTTGGATAAAAGCATCTGCTAAATAACTAAATGTAAATGTATTGCAAAACCCTACAAAGAAATAAGTACTTTTCTTACCTTGTTCCCATCATGCAGTGAACATGTGTGGAATAATGTACTGATTAGACGCAAATAATTTTATTCCAATGTTTCCATTCTCTTCAGCTTTTCTGCCAAAATTTGCTGACCTCTTCATATTGGTTGACAGTTCAGCATCAAAACAGGAGCTGTCAATAATAAAGAATTTCCTCCAAAAACTGATCGGCCAACTCAACGTGGGAATAAATGGCAATCGTGTCGGCCTAGCTCAGTTCAGTGAAAACGTCAAAGAAGAGTTTCTGCTCAATACACATCGTACCAGAAATGAGATGAGCACATCTATTCGCAACCTGCAGCTGACTCCTACAGGGGAGCGTAGAATTGGACATGCCATTGAACATGCTCGTTCAAATTTCTTCAATCGCGATGCTGGAAGTCGTGCTGCTGAAGGTTATAAGCAGTTTCTGTTAGTCATTGCAGCAGGAGAATCTGCCGATGGTGTCATCCAAGCGTCTCGGAAAATCAAAAAAGATGCAGTGACAGTTTTTGCTGCTGGCTTAAACAGAGCTGATGCTTATGAGATGAAGGACATCGCTAGTCAATCACACAACTACAAGTTAGTAGGTAACATTCCACTTGTGCAGCAAAAAATCAAAGTTGCCGTTGACACATGGGAAGATGTTGCTGTCTCGAAGGGTGAGTGAATGCTTTTTATTTGTTCTTTCTATATAATGTGTTCTGTTAAAGGCACAGTATGTATTTTTTGCCACTAGAGTGGGGATATTCACAACCATCAAAGGCATAGTTTGATGACTTTCTGACTGAGAGTGCTTTCACACAAAGTCGTTTGTTTCAGAACCTGGCATGATTGCCCCCTAAGCAGGCTGTGTCAGTGTATTCCAATTATGTAATAGGCAAATTAGGGCTCGACACTAAGGAACTGCCCGATGACCCGGGGCCAGTGTGAGAGATGCTCGGGACTGAAGGGGTCGCTGGCCTGATCGGGCCAGTTCTGCTAAGTTCAACTGCAGTTTATTTCTCACACTATGTGTGCAAATAGATCACTTTAAAATAACTAAATATGTTCATATGGAGCTGTTTCTGTGTAAATAAACAGATTAACGGTCAGTAATATATATACACCGTGTCTCAAACCCCCCCAATAATATGTCATAAAAAAATGAGATTTATTATACTACAGGAATAAGAAGGACTACATTTTGTAAAGGAATAACAGCGCAATCTGTGCATTATACTAATTCTTCATTTACTCTCCTTGGCGATGGCGTAATGATAACGTATTGGATTTTAGCTGCGTAAGGCTTAAGTAAAAATGGTGTTTTCTAATGAAGATAAGAGTTTGATCAAAGGTTTGCGGGGCTCAACATTAAGGACTGCCCGATGGCCCGGGGCCAGTGTGTGAGATGTTCGGGACAGTAGACAGGATCGTTACTAGCCCGATCGAGCCACTGATGCACTGTCACTAAAGTTTAATTTGCCTGTGACCATTTGTCAATTGCGTGCAAATACAGTCAGAATTGAGAAACAGTTTGTGTTTTTAAGCCTTCAAATGCTACCTTCTCGGTTCCTCTTATCTGATTAGATGTAGTGAGCATGTTATTTTTCCGTAACAACCAGTACAGCGAAGAGACAACAACATGGCAGCAACATCAAGTGATGATGCAAAAGGAAAACAATTGTTTCTAACGTCTTGGAAGCAGGCATTTACGAGAGTACACCATGACAAAATAAAATTAAGATGTTTTTTACAGTTTGCCGTCAATTTGGCAGGTCAGCCATCTTTTGTTTGCAATAAAATACCTGCATATTTTGCTACTTTTGTTTGCAAAACACTTTGAATTTTGCTCATTATACATTTATTAACTTTTTAAAAAATATTTAAATTCAAGATTTACAAACATTTTGACACTTTAAAAAAAAAAAAAAAATGTGGTCAAGAAATATCTATTAACTTTTTTTTGGAAGGACCAGTGAAAGTATTAGCAGGGCAAGTAAAAATCTGATCCACTGGTCAGATCGGGCCAGTAGTAAAAATACTTAGCGTTGAACCCTGGTTTGTGAGAACTGAAAGGCTATTTCGCTTCACATTTTTTTCGTCAATTTCTGACTAGAAACTGGACAAAAGGTGGATTGCTTGTTCGTGAAAACACATCGCACTGTCTGACAGATTACATGACAGTCTGGTATCCACAGATGGAAAACGTATACACCTATATCATTTCATCTATTTGCCATCTAATTGAAAATTATAATTAAAGTTAGGGGTATTTTAACAAAAGTTGAACTGCAGTTTATTTGTAACGTTGTGTGTGGCTAAGAATGGGCTTTTTACAGTGTCTGCTATAATGCTAATGTTGTTTTTGGTGTGTTAAACATAGATGAATATGGCCACTGTGTAAATGCACAGTACTGTTACATTGTTATTGCTACGTTAGATCGTCATGATAACATTGCCTTCAGTGATCTCCTGAAATCAAGTACCAAAAAATAAAGCAAGTGGAATAACTACAGCAATCGCCATCGTCTGATCTCATATGAAGCATGAGATCATGATGACGTGTGCAGGTGTTGTAGTGCTGTCCCATTTCTAAGGGGTAATTTTTGAAGCCCTTCCCCTTTACACTCTGTTTTAAGGGCCAAGGGGATAGGGTAGGGGTACAAATGTAGAATTGGGATTGGGCCTTTTTGTGTTCATGTAAACGTACTCTTTGCTCTAGGGTTTTTGGGACCATATTAATAAAAATATCTTGTCATATTGTGCCTTTAAAGTTTTTCCCAGGATTTACAATGTCAGTAGATGTGTAGATCATAGGTTTTGTAAACTGCTTTTGTCTTTTTGACAGACTGCGAGTTTGACGTGGTGGCAGATATTGCTTTTATTGTTGATCAGTCCAGCAGTATCAAATCCAGAAATTTCCAACTTGTACGCGACTTTCTTGAAAACACAATCGGACGTCTCGACGTTGGCAAAGACAAAATACAGATCGCTGTGATCCTCTATAGCGACTTCCCTCGTGCTGATGTGTACCTGAACACCTTCAGTAATAAAAACGACATCCTTCGCTACATCAACACCCTGCCATATGGTCGTGGAAAAACATACACCGGAGCTGCTCTCAGGTTTGCCAAAGAGCATGTGTTCACCAAAGCACGGGGCAGCAGAAGAGACAAGTATGTCCAGCAGGTTGCTGTTGTTATCACTGATGGAAAGTCCACCGACGATGCTGCCAGCGCTGCAGCAGAATTACGAAGATCTGGAGTGTCCATATTTGCACTTGGTATTAAAGATACCAAAGAGGACGACTTGAGAGAGATTGCATCCTACCCGCCCAAGAAGTTTGTGCTCAATGTGGAAAACTTTGATCAGCTCAATTCGCTTGCTGGCATATTAACCAAAACTCTATGCAATGAAATCAGTGATGCCATCATACCTAAATTCTCACTTGGCGCTGTTTTAGAAGGTTTGCACACCATTTTTAAAAAATACTAGTGCACATTTTTGATGGAAACATTAAGATTATTCATGTTAAAATTGATTCTTTTTGTTTCACAGGTTGTAAACAAACAGCAAAAGCCGACATATACTTCCTTCTAGATGAATCAGGAAGTATATCATATCCAGACTTTGAAGACATGAAGAAATTCATCATGGAATGCCTTGACGTGTTTCAGATCGGAAAAGACCACGTTCGCATTGGAGTGGTGAAGTTTGCAAGCAAGGCAACCACAGTTTTCCGATTACACGACTATAGCACAAAATCTGACGTTGAAAAGGCAGTTAAAGACCTTGAAATGTACGGAGGTGGGACTAGAACTGATCTGGGGCTCAGACAGATGATACCGCTGTTTCGAGAAGCTGTTCAAACGCGTGGGGAAAAGGCTCGTGAGCTGCTGATTGTGATCACTGATGGCGAATCAACCGGGACTGTAGAGCCGGTTGAAGTGCCTGCTAAACATC